ACCCCACGGGTGGACGAGAGCGGGGTGCTGGAGCCTGTCTTGGTCTATGATGCAAAGGGTCCCCCGCCAGGGGTCCGACCGCTTCAAGCGCAGGAGGTTTGGCACTTGCGCGGAGGATCCAGTGCCGACTGGCTCGCACTTTGTGGGCAGTTGAGCCACGAGGATTTGCTGAGGGGAGTCCTGCGTGCGTGCCCCCCGCGTGCAGCCGCGGCTGCGCTAACAGCGGCCCTCAGGCAAGCGGAGGTATCCACCGAGTCAGGAGAGAGGACGGCGGGCATCTGCCGCCGCCCAGAGGACGAGGGGAGACGTCGGGAGCTCACGAGCTGGCTCCAAGCTGACGAGAGGCGACGGCAGGAGAAGGTGGGGAGGCGTGAGCGGCACGGTGGCATGCTGCCAGGGGAGCGAGCGCAAAGCTTGCTCGACGACCCCTACCCCGACGTGATCCTACTGCGAGTGGGACGCGACCCAGAAGGAGGACCGCAGTGCTGGAACCAGTGTGGGAGGAGCTGCGCTCGCTTGGAGCACGACTGGGGCTGGTACTGCTGTCGGACATGCCGTGACACGGATGGCGACACCCATGGGCCGTACTGTCAGGCACGACACGAAGACCTTCAGAGGAGGCAGAAGGAGGCTGGCTACCGCCCCCCAGCGGGCGAGGAGGCGAGTGGCAGCGGCGGTCCAGGAGCCCAGGCAGCAGGCGAGGAGGCTCCGAGGCACCCGCCGCCCAAGGCGGCGCCGGACGGCCGCCTCCCACCCATCTGGGAGGAGCAGCGGCCTGCGGTGGTGAAGGCGCCGCCCGGGACGGCCAGGGAAGGCCGGCCGCACGAAGGTCCACCCGCTGGAGGGGCGCAGGGCCCGCTGGTGGGTAGCGGAGAAGACCCACCAGCCACCAGGAGCCGGCATGCGGGAGGTTCAGAGGATGAGAGCTGGGGCCCCTGGACGGCCACAGGGCGACGCGTGGTTGCCGAAGGCGTGGGAGAGGGCGCCAGCGGTGCGGATCAGGCCCCGCCCCCCCCCAGAGGCGAGGGAAGCCTTGCGGCCGTGCCGGCTCCCAGGTTGCCCCTATTTGGAGCACTCCCAGCCCGCGACGGCAGTCGACGGGGGAGCACTGTGGCGGCCAGGGTTCTGCTGCAACAAGTGCGCAGGGCGGTCGGAGGGAGCGGATTGGGCGGAAGGAGGCGCGAAGCACTTCAGACACTGTGAGAAGATGCCCCACGGCCAGCCACCCCCAGGTGGGGAGGGGCCGTCAGAGACCGCAGCAGCAAGTAAGAAGCGCAAGCAGGAGCGCAAGCAAGAGATTGCAGCGGCTGCCGCCCGGGTGCTGGCCGCCGCTGCGTTGGCTGCCCCCCCTGCGGGGTCTGAGTCCGGGGCCGCGGAGGAGCAGGGCGAGGAGAGCGGCAGCGGAAGTCTGAGCGAGGAGTGCCCCCCCCCGTCACCAGGGGAGCTCGCCCGGCGGGCACGTGCGGAGCGAGGGGCTGCCCGGCAGAGGAAGGCGGAGGCAGAGCGGCTCGAGGATGGGGCCGGGCACCCCGGTGCGGGGCAGGCGGAGTACATCCACCTAAGGGCGAAGACCCCTCCTGCACCAGCTACGGTCAAGCAGGAGGAGAGGTCGGAGGAAGAGCCCCCGGCAGAGGTTGCGCGGGCGGTCGGTCAGACTTACCGTGCGCTCGCTAGGCGGGTAGAGTTTCAGAGGACAGGGCTTTGGTCCGCACCGGAGGAGGAGGACTGCCCCAGGGGGAGGGCCGCCGGGGTGGAGAAGTCGGTGGTCCACCCCCGGCCTGGCCGAGAGCCACTCCCGCAGCCAGAGGGGCGGGCCGACCGCGAGCCGCTGCCCCAACCAGGAAGTTGGGTCCCCCCTTCGGGGGAGTCGAGTGGGTCCCGCGGGCTGGAGAAGCGGCCGCGCCACCCTGGCCATCGGGCGGAGGAGGGCCCGCTCAGGCCTGGCGGACCGGCACGTGCTGCGGAGGCCGTGAGGGACCTCAACTCACCTGAGTCCTACTCGGAGGAGGACTATGAAGAGACAGAGGAGGAGGCCGAAGCGTTTCGGCCGGTTCCTTTCCCAGGAGGCGGCCCAGACGCCCGCTATGCGTGGTGTGAGTACTGCGGTGTGCAGGGCGAAGGCCGGGACACGAGCTGCCCGATGTGCAACAAGCCCTACCCCATTTCGGTGGCCAAGGACCGGTTGGCGGCAGCGCAGAGGGCAGCCAAGGCAGGGAGTGCCGCCGCGGTCGCCCCCCGGCACGGGGGAAGAGAGGAGTGCGAGCGTGAGGAGGTGGCGCGGCGTGCGGCACCGGAGGCCGGACCGCCCGAGGACATCGACCCGGAGGCGGTGAGCCGGTACCTGGAAGCGGCAGCGGGCAGCGGACAGGGCAGCGAAGGGCTCGAGCGGCAGCTCAGGCGGATCGCCGGGGAGGATTCCAGGCGGGCCGGCGGGCGTGCCGATGCTGGGTACGCGCCAGAGCTCCAGAGGTTGGTAGACGCAGCCGTGGTGGCTTCGGTGGCAAAGGGGACGAAGGCGACCTACGGCGTCGCTTGGAGGCAGTGGACGACGTTCTGCAGGATCCGCAGGAGGTCGCCCATCCTGCATGGCGAGACTCGTGAAGAGCGTCACCAAGATGAGGAGGAGCTGCTGCTATTCATGGTGCACCTGTACAACAGCCTGAAGCGGTCGCACGGGACGATACGGTCAAAGTTGCTGGGGATCCGTTCACACCACGTGATGCTGGGCGAGCCCGACCCCTTGGCGGGGAAGCCGCGGCTGTGAATGGCGTTAAGTGGGATAGAGAACTGGCAAGGGCCCGGAAAGAGGAAGCTCCCGGTTACGATCAAGATGCTGAAGAGAATCCGAGACATGCTGAAGCCAGACACTTGCGCGGACGACGCGGCCTTGTATTTCTGCGTGATCTTCGCCTTTTTCTTCATGATGCGGATTGGGGAGTACGCCCACTCGGGGCACTGGGATTTGAAGAAGGTCTTGACCGGGCTGGACATTGCCCCGAAGTGCAAGGGCGAGCAGGTGAGCCACTTCGCTGCCGCGGACGAGGTGGTGCTGTGGTTTAAGGCGTCGAAGGCGGACCAGAAGGGAGCAGGGCAGGCGAGGAACCACTACCGCTCGAACGACCCGTTCGGCATCTGCCCAGTGTGGGCGGCGGAGTGCTACAACCGTTGGTTCCCGAGCCGCATCGCGGGCAAAGAGGCACATTTACCACTTGCGAGGTGGGAAGACGGCAGCCCGATCACGCGGGAGCGTATCCAGGGCTTGCTTCAGAAGGCGGCGGCGCTGGAAGGCTACCCGCCCGACAGGTTCAAGAGCCATTCACTCCGAATCGGCGGAGCGACGGCCCTGTACCACTGCTTCCAGGACACGGAGCTGGTCAAGCGTTGGGGGCGGTGGAATAGCGGAGCCTTCCATCAGTATTTGTGGGAGGCGAACGAGGACGCCGCTGGAGTATCGGAGGCGATGGCGAAGTCTGTGGCAACCCTGCATGTGGGGTACAAGGTTGATGTGGCGGGAGATGGACCGGCCGCTGATGTGAAGGAAAAGTCAGCGGCCTGAGGATAGCAGCAGGAGTGTGAGTTTTGTGCCAAGGCGCGTCACCACTGGAGGGGCTGATGTTGGATTGTGCGCAGTCCTGGGGCAGCGGCCTGGGGGCAGTGGTGACCCCTCGGATCGACGGAGGTGGGGAGGTAGACCCCGGGGCGACTCGCCAGTGCGGCTCCCGGGAAAGTTGGAGGAGGAAAGACAGAGGTGAAGTGGAGGAGGGCCGCGAGCCCCGTTCGGCACCACCCGCAGGTCACGGGCGCCGAGGGGGCGAGCGGAGGTGAGGAGGTCGAGGGCCGGGGCGTCCCGCCAATGCGGTCCCCGAGGAGAGGTGGAGGTGGTCGGGGCGTCCCGCCAGTGCGGTCCCCGAGGAGAGGTAGAGGAGGCCGGCGGGTGCTCCGCCAGCGCCGGCACGCGCTGCGCAGTGAGGCGCCCAGCCGTGAGCCCCATGCGGCACCACCCGCAAGTCACGGGCGCTGAGGGAGCGAGAAGAGCTGGGTGGCCGAGGAGCCGCCGGTCTGGCGGCACAGCTGGGCCTCTGCTGAGGCCTAGCCTGAGTGTGGTGGAGGACGGCACGCGCCTGCGTTTGCCAAAATAGCGCGCGTGCTTGTCCGCTGCTAGTGTTTTGTTTGAGCCCGAACAGTGCTTGTGCTCGTCGCGGGTCGGGCGCTCACTGTTTGGTTTCTGCCAGGCACCTTCTCACTTAAACGTGAGAGTTTGAGCGTGCGTAAAACGTAGGGTTTCAGGGAGTAAGTGCCTGGCGAGGGGGAAGGGTCTCTCTTGCCTTCTGTCCCTTTCCCCCTCTCCGCGGCCCCTCTGGGGCTCAAGTTTCCTTCTCGGGCCCTTCCCTCCCAGGCCCTCCCTGGCCCTTCGTAGGTCCTTTTCCTTTTTTCGGCCTTGACCGCATAGCGGTTCGGGCCGAGGAGCCGCCGGTCTGGCGGCACAGCTGGGCCTCTGCTGAGGCCTAGCCTGAGTGTGGTGGAGGACGGCACGCGCCTGCGTTTGCCAAAATAGCGCGCGTGCTTGTCCGCTGCTAGTGTTTTGTTTGAGCCCGAACAGTGCTTGTGCTCGTCGCGGGTCGGGCGCTCACTGTTTGGTTTCTGCCAGGCACCTTCTCACTTAAACCCGCCCCCAGCCTTCGCCGAGGGAGCGGGAACAGGAGAGGGGGGGACAGCTCCGAGCCTAAGCCGAGAGGTGGGAGGAAGAGAGGGCAACGACAAGAAAGCGGGACGACGGGGGACCACCTCCACCTCCTCCTCCTCCTCCTCCTCCTCCTCCTCCTCCTCCTCCTCCTGCTCCTCCTCCTCCTCCTCCTCCTCCTCCTCCTCCTCCTCGCCCTCCTCCTCCTCCTCCTCCTCCCTCCTCCTCCTCCTCCTCCTCCTCCTCCTCCTCCTCCTCCCCCTCCTCCTGCTCCTCCTCCTCCTCCTCCTCCTCCTCCTCCTCCTCCTCCTGCTCGCACCTGCTTCCCGCCCTCGAAGACTTTGGTGAAGAAGAGGTCGCCCAGGCGGTCCTTCTGCCGGGGCTGCAGCCCGTCGAACATGTGCATGCAGTCGATGAACTTCCGGTTCTCTGCGAGCCTCCAGGCGGAGGTGGAGGGTGAGGAGGCGGAGGAGGCGGAGGAGGAGGAGGAGGAGGAGGAGGAGGAGGAGGATGAGGAGTGAGCAGGATGAGGGAGGGTGGGACGAGGAAAAATGAAGAAGGAGGAAGTGGTGGTGGAGCCGTTGAGGGCTGATGAGCCGGGATGAGGGATCAGGGATGAAGAGGAGGAGGAGGAGGAGGAGAAGCACGACGACGACGAGGAGGAGAAGGCGGAGGAGCAGGTGGAGGAGGCAGGTGATGATGATGATGATGACGACGACGACGACGACGATGATGATGATGATAATGATGATGATAATGATGATGATGATGATGATGATGATGATGATGATGATGATGATGATGATGATGATGATGATGATGATGGTGATGCTGCTGATGATGATGCTGATGATGATGACGTTAATGATGATGATGATGACGATGATGATGATAATGATGATGATGATGCTAATGATGATGATGATGATGATCAGGGTGATCAGGATGCTGATGATGATGATGATGATGATGATGATGATGATGCTAATGATGATGATGATGATGATGATGATGATGATGATGATGATGATGATGATGATGATGATGATGATGATGCTAATGATGATGATGATCAGGGTGATGATGATGATGATGATGATGATGATGATGATGATGATGATGATGATGAGGATAATGATGACGATGAGTATGCTGCTGATGATGATAATGATAATGCTGCTGATGATGATGATGAGGAGGAGGAGGAGGAGGAGGAGGAGGAGGAGGAGGAGGCGACACAGGCAGATGAGGAGGGGGAGGGAAACGAGAAGGAGTTCAGGTAGCGTAGGGAAACGAGGAGGAGGAGAAGGAGGCAAGAGAGGGGGGGAGAAGCCTGACGTAGGGAATAATAATGCAATTATGATGATGTTGGTGATGATGCTGCGGATGATGATACTGATTACGATTATGACTAGGTTGATGATGATGGTGATGATGATGATGATGATGATGATGATGATGCTGATGGTGTTGATGATGATGTTGATGCTGGTGATGATGCTGATCACAGTGATGATGATAAAAACAATGCGAATGATGATGCTGCTGATGCTGATGCTGATGATGATGATGATGATGATGATGATGATGACGATGGTGGTCATGGTGCTGCTGCGGATGGTGGTAATGCTGGTGATGGTGATGATGATGCTGATGACAATGATGATGAGGATGATGCTGCTGCTGTTGCTGCTGCTGATGATGCTGATGATGATGCTGCTGATGGTGATGATGATGCTGCTGTTGATGATAATGATGATGATGATGATGATGATGATGATGATGATGATGATGATGATGATGATGATGATGATGATGATGAGGAGGACGAGGAGGAGCGGGAAGAGGTGGCGGAGGAGGAGGAGGGAGAAGAAGGAGCAGGAGGAGGGGCTGGCTCGCTGGCTCACGCAGGGCGCCCACGGCAAAGGATCCCGCAGCGCTTGAAGGAGGAAGGAGGAGGAGAAGGAGGAAGGGGAGGAGGATAATCTCGGATGTACCATTAGGCCGCGGGTCGGAGCCTGGAGGAGGAGGAGGAGGAGGGGGATGGGGAGGAGGGAACGAAGGGAGGAGAAAGGAAGAGGGGGGGCGAGGGAGGAGGAGGAGGAGGAGGAAGAGGATAGAGAAGATCAAGAGAGGGGGAGGACGAGGAGAAAGAAGGTCAAAAGATGGAGATGGAGGAGGAGAGCCTCTTCTTGGCGTGCTTTCGCAGCACGTCGCGGAAGACGTCGCCGTGGGCGGCCCACACGGCGCACCTCCCGCTGGCGCGCAGCGTCGCCGTGCGCGGGCACGCGCAGACGAGCGCGAGGCCCCCGAAGGCGCTGCCCTCCGACAGGGTGTTGATCGCCTTCCCCTCCACCTCCTCCTCCTCCTCCTCCTCCTCCTCCTCCTCCTCCTCCTCCTCCCCTCCCCCTCCTCCTCCTCCTCCTCCTCCTCCCTCCTCCTCCTCTCCTCTTCCTCTTCCTCCTCCTCCTCCTCCTCCTCCTCCTCCTCCTCCTGCTCCTCCTCCTCCTCCTGCTCCTCCTCCTTCCTCCCTCTTCCCTCCTCTTTCCTCTTCCCTTCGCCAGGGGCATGGTACCGTATCCTTCTCGTCCTGGTGCACCCCTCGGGGACGACGTTCGTTGTCGTTTGGCACTTGCTCCGACATGTTCCCTCCTCCCTCCTCCCTCCTCCCTCCTTCCTCCTCCCTGTTCCCTCCTCCATCCTCCCTCTGTGCACGCACAAGCTTTTTCATCGTGAGGGTCCCTCGCATGCGATACTGTACGACTGCTGTGAGGCAGTAACAAGCCCCAGTGCCTCTGTGTTGGCAGCTGCACGCGCGTTTACCATGTCGCTGAAGAATGACAAAGGTCGAGTCCACCTTCCCCACCTTTACCCAAAACCATCTGGATCGGATATGGCGGTTGCGCAAATTGCCCGCTCGGGACTATCTATCCGGAAGGTGCATCGGCCTACAACTCAGGGATTTGGATTCACGAGACTCAGGGCTGTTTCCAGGACTACAACAGGTTGCGCCATATGTTTCGGTGGTTCTGGCTGTGGCAACGTTTTCTCTGGTCGTTCTCGTACGTTGTCCCTCGTGGTACAGCGTTTACGATTCAGAAGTCGACCTTCCTGGATTCGACGGCGTATTGCGACGCGATCGTTCGAGGTATTCGGGATGCCTCGGACCAGAGGTAGTTCGCGGTCGTATTCGCGGCCCTTTGGAAGATCGGGGCTGGATCTCGACGTTGTTGGATGCTTCCGGGGCTGCCTATCTCGCAGGATCTGCAAGGCAAACCTGTGCTGTCAAGCAGCAAATCGTTGGCAGCAGCACTCTGGTAGTCTTGAGGCGGTGGCAACAGCGGAAGCAGCAGATGCGAACGACTATGCTGAGTACTTTGGAAGAAAGCAGCATGCAGGTGCGAGCGAGTCTGAGCCAATCGCAGTTCAATTGATCCCTTCCCTTGCAAATTTCCAGCTCGCGTGCAGACAAGATCGGCAAGCAACTTCAGGATGTGACGGGTTGACGGGAGGGTTCGTTCACAAGTTCCCCGCAGAAATCGCAGCGCTGTATCACCCACTGCAACTGAAGTTTCCGGTTACGTTGGTGGAACCACTACCTCCTCAAGTCAGCTACCGCAAGTCCGAAACTCTGTTCAAGCTAGAGATTGATTTCGGCACCGTCTGATATAGGAAAGGCGTCGTGGAGGTGTTCGCGAAACCAATTCATGCCGCAGCCCATTGGCACGGCGGGACCCACACAATTCGGTGAAATACCAGGTTGTGGCACTTCTCAGGCGTCGCGCATCGTTCGGCTGGCACAGAGGCATGCCTGCCTCAGCAGGCATTCACACGGCGTGCTGTCCACGGATGCGGCGCAGGCCTTCTACTGTCGGGGGGCAAAGAGGGGGGTGTCCAAGAGGGGGGGGTGCAAATCATGACCGGCTGCATGTGCGCGACCCAGCGGGGGGCCAGGGACGTAATGAAATAAGAAGAGGCGCCATGAAATCTGGGGAAATGTCATGGCCCACGCCATGATATCCACCCCCCCCTAGTCATCACCCCCCTCTTTTCCGCCCCCGATACTGGAGTACCAGTGCAGCTCGATGACCTGTCTACTGCTTGTATTGTCCGGGCAGCAGGGTTACCGCCGTCAGCGATGCACGAGCTGGCGCGCAGACTGCGAGAGCATGGAGCACAGCCGGCACGCACAACTGCGGATGCGCACGTGGTATGCCAAGTGGAGCAATGCTACTACTCACCGTGGTTTGTCGACGACGGGTCCTGACAAGTACCCCTGCCTCATAGATCTGTTTCCCAGAACAACAATTGGCCGACAAGTTTAACGAGATGCTGCTACGTAATTGATTGCGCGGACATCGTGCGCAACATGCTCATAACGACTGGTCTTTCGCACGATGCACCACGTGCCGACAGCCGCGGTATAGCGAGCATATGCACAGATACTGATGCCACCACTACAGCTCCATGGGTGGATGTTGCGCCCGCTGCTGATGGAACGGCAATATTGGCAATGGCAGCAAGCAGAATCAATATGGACCCAACAAGACTGCAGCAAGTAATTCTCAGGGGTTCCAGGACCAAGCAGGCACAGCAAGTCATTTGGCAGCAGCACGGTGGCACGCTACAAGCGACGTCCAGCTTACTTGGCCCATGATTGGCTACTGTGGTACACAACTACATACACTTGAGATCGGTTATCGACCAAGGGGGCATCAAGGGCCTGAGCTTCGGTGCCGTGCGAGCACCACAACTGCATCGTTGCAGACGCTGCGCAGACGCGTGCTTGCCACCGATACCCTGCCAATGTCGGGACGGATGCTGCTTGCAGATGATTTGGCTACGTCGGCGCGGCTGTGCAGTGCCAGCGCCTGGGCTGCCTGCTCAAGCGGGGAAAGCGAAGCAGTCGTGGACCGGTGCCATGAAGGTGTGCCGCGCGGCTGCCCGCGCAAGGAATGACTGGTCATGCGTGTCCGGCCAGACTGCACTCGCCAATTTCGAACGCCCGTCACCGACGCTGCCCTTGCGTGTAGAGCCAGGTTACGGCTGTACGGGTCGCTGCTGGTCGGTGTGCCCATCCTCGCCTGTGCGCTGCTGAGAGAGGAGGTGGGCAGCAGCGGCGCCGCCCGCGAGGGCACGGACTTGGGCGGGTCTCTTGCTGGAGGTTCTTGCTGTTTTTCCCCTGCAGGGAGATCTTCTACCTCCCGCAGGCGGCGAGAGGACGGCCCAGTCCCAGGCTCCAGCTGCCGCATCGACTGCAGCGTGAAGCCGCCTCCCCGGAGGGGATGGACTAGACTGGCTTCACTCTGCCAGCCGCTCCTGTGCCGTGATGGGCTTGCTTTCCACCACCACCACCACCCTAAGTTGGAAGGGGGAAGGAGGAGGAGGAGGAGGAGGAGGAGAACGAAGACGAGGAGGAGGAGGAGGACGAAGACGAGGAGGAGGAGGAGGAGGACAAAGACGAGGAGGAGGAGGACCCCCTTCCCCCTCCAACTTATGGTGGTGGAGGTGGAAAACAAGCCCATCGTGCCGAGCTGCCGCCGCCGCGATCAGACACGGGGCCCCGGGATGCACTTGCCGAGGGTGGTCCGGCAGCCCGGAAGCGGCCACTGGGGCAAGCGCTGCACGGGCAGGCACAGGCAGACATGCGCGCAGACACGGCAGAACAAGTCGCCAGGGGTGTCTCTGATACCAGGGCTGAACCTAAACGGTGCTTTTCGTTTTCGTTTTGTTTTCGTTCTCCCTCGTTTTGTCTTTACTCCGCCTCTACCGCAAAACGAAGTCGAAACGAAAACGGCCCACGGAATCGCCAAAACACCGTTTAGGTCCAGCCATGTCTGATACAATCAGACCTGCCGGACCGACGGTGCGGGTAACGACCAGAGCCACAACATGCCCGTGGTGTGCTGGGGAGTTTCGCAGCCATGCAGCGCACCGGGTACATGCGGCACGCGCGCATCTCATTGAACACATTTGCCTTCGGATTCGCCGAGATGCATGCGTGTCCTGTCTGCCACGTGACGGAATCCAGCATCTCCTTCGAAGCATGCCGATGTGGGGCTCCAGGAGTGCTCGCCCACAGGCAAGGCTTGAATTTTGCGAGGCGGCAGGTGACGGCCCCAACCGGGAGAGCGCTCCGGGACACCCGGAGCCCGAGGCTGAACGAACGATGGCGGCACTGACGCAGCAGGAGGCCAAGGGCCAAGGACCCTTTTGCCGCAGCAGATCCTGAGGAGCCGAAGGCTCACCCAGGGGGCCACGTGCCGATGTGGGGCTCCAGGAGTGCTCGCCCACAGGCAGGGCTTGAATTTCGAGGCGGCAGGTGACAGCCCCAACCAGGAGAGCGCTCCGGGACACCCGGAACCCGAAGCTGAACGAACGATGGCAGCACTGACGCAGCAGGAGGCCAAGGGCCGAGGAACCTTCTGCCGCAGCAGATCCTGAGGAGCCGAAAAAGCTCACCCAGGGGGGCCACGTGCGAGCCCTACCCCTACCCCCCATGATCTCTGAGGGGGGAGGTGCACCCCACCCTCCCCCTCGGAAATCGTGGGGGGTAGGGGTGGGGTTCGCATGGGGCCCCCTATCACCGCTGCCGCCGCCGCGCCGCTGCCAGCTCCGCCGCGGGATAACAACATCCCAGCGGATAAGAACACGGGAAAACATCCAGCGCGCTGGCTTTGCTGGAACGGTACACAACGGCCGACCCCACCCCGCGTGCAGTAGGCCGGGTAGAATACCACGATGCGCTGCAACTGCACTGTGGTCGACGGCGGGAAGGGGACATTCAGGCACAGGTGGAGTCTGCACGCTACCTTACCGACTATGCTGCTGTTGTACGTTCCATGGCATTGCTATTCGTGCGACGCTCGGTGACACGATGGATGCCGATACACTCGCCATACGGAGAGAGCAAGCATTTGCGAAGCGGGTCGTTTGTCAGGAGGGGGTCCACCGTGTAAGACATGGTCTGCCGCGAGGTGGGCTAGAGGTAGCGGCCCACACCTGCTACTGACGCATGACGAGTATTGAGAGAAGATTGCGCTCACATCACGACAGATGTGTGGGCAGGAAACGAGTTGCTAGGGTCGATGGTAACACTGATCGCCGCGCACCTCGCAGCAGGCACAAGCTGTCGGGTGGAACACCCGCAGCCATGCGATTGGCGCATTCAGGCCGTGACGTCCTTCACACGGCACCCCCTCCTGGCCCTGATCTCCCCCCCAGCAGCGACGACCGCGGATTTTGATCAGTGGGAGCACGGTCAGGCGTCGAAGGCACCGACCGGGATCGTGGCGCTTACGTGTCTCAGGCAGACGGAGTCGTCTGCGGGATACGGATGGGAGAGGCTAGTGTTGACATGGAGCGAGAGGTCACGAAATATTGCTGGGCTACGACGGACCTCGCAGGGAGTGGAGAGGACCGCCAAGAAACAGACGTCCCCCGAACGACTGCGCAAGCACTTGGCAAATAGCAAGATCGACTATGTTCAGACGATTTGGGAAGGAGGCTGCGATGAAGCGGTGCCTGAGGATGGGGAGGACCAGGGGATCCGCGATGCGCTTTTGTAATTTGCACGTTGTCTGGGATCCTTATCAGGGGCAGCGCGAGAAATGGGCCCCAGATCCCGTGTCGCGCAGGTCTCGGGCCCGACGGGCCGATCACGAAATGAGTAGTGCTTACCCGCCCGAGCCTGCCGCCGCAAAGCAGGAGCACAACGGTGACCTCTTATAGACCCCACTGCCACGCCCAGGCCGCCAGGGCCACCCCGAGGCCGACGAGGAGCGGGAACCTCTTGAGGCCGAATATTTGCCGTCAGGAACCTCAGGCTTGACACCCTTCTTTCTCCTGCTCATCCTCTGCCTCCTCTCTCCCTCCCTCCCTCATCCCTCCTTCTCCCTCCCTCCCTCCCTCCCTCCTCGTCCTCCCTCCCTCCTCCCTACCTCCTCTCCACAGGCTCCACAGCCTGTGCAGCTGTCAGACGAGATCTGGGCTCGGGCTGCCAAGAACCGCGAGCACTCGCGCGCACGCAGGGCTGCCACAGCGGCTGGAGCACACCTCGCCGTGGCGCCGTGGGCTGCAGATGCCTCGCTCGAGCAGAATCTGTTCGACTGAGCAGGCGAGCGAGTCGGCAGTTCACAGCTCTAGACTCTAGAAGGTTCCTGTTGCCCTCTTTCTGCTTCGCCGCCGCCGCTTCCACCCCCCCCCTCTGTTTCTTGCTGCTGCGCCTGGGCTGACGGACCGGCGTGTACAGGGTTCAAGGACCTGCCAGCACCCCGCGCAGCCAGACGCATGCTTCTATGCTGCTCACTTGCCGAGTGCCCACGTGAGCCCAGCCCGGGCCAATGGCGCACCCGACAGCGTACACCACGCGTGCGAGGCCCCCCTTGTGCTGTATCGAGCCACCCCCCCACCAGGTGCAGCAGCTCTTCCGCTGCCAGCCTGCCGCGTGCCTCCCTAAGTCTCTCGCCCGCGGGGCCCACAGTGACCACAGCCGGTGGCCATGGTGCACCCGATAGCGCCTCACGCGTGCGGCGCCCCCTTCTTCGAGCGGCCCGCGATGCCGCCCCCGCAGATTCTCGTCACTTTGGCCGTGTGCCTCCGCCCGGCGCCGCACGGGAGGGTCCGGGCTGCTGGGCGTGCAGACAGCTGAGGGTGTTGTCCTCCGCCGTCTGTCGCTCGTGCCGTCGACAGGGCCGAAGATAACTCGCCCTGGCCGGGCGAAGGACGGCAGCACACATGCCCGGGCTCGGCAGGCGCCAGGCAGTCAAGGCAAATCCTGTAGCCTAGCAGGAGAGACTGTGCTGCAGTACCTCCTCTCTTGGGTCTTAGTGCGAAGATCGGTGTTTGCCCCGCCGACGTCTCGTTCCAGTGCCCTGGCCATCGCTCGGACGTCCTTTTCCTGTGCTTTTTTCGGTTTCGTGCGTGGCTTTTTCGCCAAATGATCAAGGATGCTCCTCGATGGTCCTCGCCGAAAAAAAATTGCACACGTCCGAGCGATGCCAGGCGTCTCGTTCCAGGGCCATCGGGGGACCGAAGATCTCTTCCCGCCTCAGGTGCGTGATGAGTGGCCGCGGACGTGCGCCCGTCTCTGCATGTCGGGGATCCGGCGCAACAGAACAGCCAAGAACCGCCCGCCTCGCCGTCTCCCTGCATGTGGCTCTCCTCGTTCTGCACCCGCTGATCGCACGGTGCTGCACGTTCTGCCTTTTCAACTGCGACCGGCAGCAAACTTTGCCCGCAGCCTTGGCGCCCGAGCCGATGGAACGTCAGGGCATCAGCCCCTGCTTTGTTTGGAATGCTGAGTGCCGGCCTGTCACCTGCCCAGCCAGCGGTTGAATCAGATGCGCAATCCAAAATCCTACCCCCTCCTCCCGCCTCCCGCCTCCCTCCTCCCTCCCGTCTCCTCCTCCTCCTCTTCCTCCTCCTCCTCCTCCTCCTCCGACACGGTGTTGATCGCTTGCAAAGCAAGACCAAGTGCGTAAGCGTAAACTGTCGGAGCTCCGCGCGTCTTTCTTGGATTGGCGCTGGGCCCCCCTCCATGGCGCGCGGAGCGCGCCAGGGGCGGCGCCGGAGGCGCAGCCAGGGAGGGGGCCCAGCGCCCAGCGCCGCTCCGAGAGATCCGCGCAGTGCTCCGAAAGTGCATGCCTACGCAACTTGTGGTTCTTCGAGCCTGGCCGTCTATGAAGACGTCCGCCTCTCGGCCACGCGCGAGGAGGAGACCCCTCGGCAAGAGCGACCTCTGGAACCCGCGGCCTGCCGAAGGCTGCGCGCGGTGCGACCACGGCGGCCCGCGACGTAGGCCACCACTGCCGCGCCGAGAGCGTTCTGGGGGTGTAGAGGCCTCTTAGATGGGGTCGGAGTAGATGGGGTCGCCGACGCATCGGCGATGCATCGGCGACATCGGCGATGCATCGGCGACGCCAGCGCGGAGGAAATCGGGCTCCACATCGAGCCGCATCGCCGATGCGTCGACGATGCGGCGCGATCCTCCGACCCCCTCTGCTCGGACCCCCCATCTGGGAGGCCGAAGAGGGCGCCCGAACAGTCCCGAGCCTGCCGATCGCTGCGCGCGCTGCGACAATTGGCGGCGGCCCGCGACGTAGGCCGCCACTGCCGCCCCGAGAGCCTTCCGGGGGTGCCCGAAGCGTCCCGAGCGGCCGCGAGGCCCGAGGCGTGGCCCCGCAGCCCGCGGCCCAGCGGGCCGGGCGTGAGACCTCTGGGGCGCGGCCTGCCGACCGCTGCGTGCGGTGCGGCAAGTGCTTGGGCTCGGCCACCGGAGGCGGAGGAGGAGGAGGGAGGAGGAGGAGGAGGAGGAGGAGGAGGAGGAAGACGAGGAGGAGGAGAGGAGGCGGAGGAGGAGGAGGGAGGAGAAGGGAACGGAGGAGAGGAGGAGGGGAGGAGAGGAGAGGAGGAGGAGGAGGAGGGAGGTAGGAGAGGAGGAGGAGGGACGAGAGGAGGAGAGGAGGAAGGAGGAGAGAGGAGGAGGAGGAGGTGAGGAGGAGGAGGAGGAGGGGAGGAGGAGGAGGAGGATGATTGGGACGGAGGGGCGAGGGACGGAGGGGACGGAGGGGACGGATGAGGAAGGAGGAGGAGGAAGGGGAGGAGGTGAGAGGAGGAGGAGAGGAGGAGGAAGGATGCGGAGGAGGAGGAGGGACGGAGAGGAAGGAGGACGGAGGAAGGAGGAGGAGGAGGAGGAGAAGGAGGAAGTGAAGGAGGAGAGGAGGAGGGGGAGGATGAGGAGAGGAGGAGGAGGAGGAGGAGGAGGAGGAGGAGGAGGAGGAGGAGGCCGACGACACAGCCGCGCGCCAGAGGCCGCTCTCCGGCGTGGGGGCACCCTCGCGCGCGGCCGAGCCTTGCCCTCGTGTATCGCGAAGAAGGTGTTCCCGGGCTTGCCCTGCATGACGATGAGGTCCCCGTCCTCGAAGGTCAGGTACTTCATGCTCTCGATGATCTGCGCGCGCTCGGCCTGCTCCAAGTTCGCGCAGATGCTGTCCTGCTCGATCGCGTGCTCGATCTTCTCGTGCGTCGGGCGCCCCTTGCCCCGCTGCCTCTTGGCGGCGCGCACAAGGGGGTATTAGGGGGAGGGGGCGAGGCTCCATAGAAGCAGGCTGCCTCCGAGAAGGTGCCCGGCCTGCACCTACAGATCAGGCCCGCGCCGTCTGAGAAGCAGGGTGCTTCTCAGACGTCTTCCCCCTTCCCCCCTGCTCGGGCGCGGCCTAACCGACCCCTATAGCAAATCATCCCCTCCGCGACGTCACCCCAGACCCCCAACGTCATGATTCTTTCGTGACGTGGACCGCCAGCTGCCTCGACCCGTTCCCTGGGGCCGGTTCTTGGGGGGAGCGAAGAATGACATCAACATGATAACTCTGAGGTTTCGCGCGGATTCTTGCGGGCTCCTTGAATCGGGCGCTGGACACCCCTTCCCTGGCGCCGGAGCGCGCCAGGGGCGGCGCCGGAGGCGCCGCCAGTGGTGTCCAGCGCCGACCCGAGAAATCCGCGCGGACCTCCGAGTTCTTCTGCTTATGCCATTTTTCGTTCCCCCGGCTCTGCATCCCGAGTGTAGTATACGTACTCATCACGAGCAGGTGAATATTTCAAGAAGTGGTCCTCTATGCTGCCTAATCACAAATTCGCTGAGCACCCCGCTCACCCGTAGCTGGGTTGCGTCTGCAACCACAGCGTTGGGTGTGCGCCGAAGCCTGCGCCGCGCCGAGAGGGCGCGGGCGCCACGAGGCCTCGGTGCAGGCCGCGTGCGCCTGGGGCCAGCGAGTGTGTGCGATGGAACCAGGGGCCGAACTCGTTCCATACAAAAAAATAAAGCGTCCTTTGACGGTCCCGAGGCCTGGCGAGGTGCCCCCCCCCAAAGGCCGAGGGTGGCGAACGCCTCCCGTCATGGTTTCTGTGACTACCCCAGGGGGCCTGGGACCCTCGCCTCCCACGCTCGCTTCCCCCCGGCCGCGGGGGCGGAGGAGGAGGAGGAGGAGGAGGAGGAGGAGGAGGAGGAGGAGGAGGAGGAGGAGGAGGGGACGGAGGAGGGGACGGAGGAGGAGGAGGAGGAGGAGGAGGAGGAGGAGGAGGAGGAGGGGAGGGTGGGAGAGAGAGGAGGAGAGGAGGAGGAGGGAGGAGGGAGAAGGAGGGGGAGGGGGAGGTCGCGGAAGGGGGATGGCTTTGCTGTAGGGGTCGGTCAAGGCCGCTCCGGGCCTGCCCCCCTCGTGCGCGCGGCTGGGCCTCGTGTGCCGGGACAGGTGGCTCTCGCAGTCGTTCGCGGCATCGGAGTTCTCGAGCGTGACGGAGCGCTCCAGATGCCGGCGGCGCGCGCGGAGGCGGCGTTCGGGGGGGGGAGTGCGGCAGGCTGCCCCTGAGGTCCGACGCAGCGGTTCGGGCCCTCGTGGGGAGTTGCCGCGTCCGCGCCCCAGCTGCCTGCACCATGTCTCGAGCCGGGTCGACGCGTGAAGGTCTCGGGGCTCGAAGCCGGGCAGAAACGCCCGGCTAACAGACACTGAAAGCGCCAGGACCTCAGGGTAAGAAGGCAGGGGGCTTCTCAGAAGCCCCCTCCCCCCGGCGTCCGCGAGGCCCTCTCAGAGGCCCTGGGGCCCTTCAGAGGAGGCCCCTTTCTTCTAACCACGACGCATCATAGCGAGCCCCCCCTTCGCGCCAGACCCGAGCCCGAGCCCAATCTCGAACAAGAGGCCGAGCAGAAGCCCGATACCGAGCCCGAGACTTGCGATGTTCTGATTTGTTCAATACGGGCCCGACCCGTTCCCCCGGGCCGGCTATTCATCGCGAGTCGTTTTCTGACGGTCCCGGACCCTGGCGGGGCCCCCAGAGGCCGAAAACGGCCAAGCAGCAACGTATGTCTGGGGCTACCCTGACTCCAGATCCGTCGTACTTCGGTTGATTATCCAACTGAAGAGTGTGTCGAAAATGTAGCCCCGAGGATGCGACAAAAAAAGAAATCTCCGCCTCAATACACGGGGGATTATATGTCCGCAAAAACATGGCTGAAACAGCGACGGCAAAGTAAGGTGGAACATCGACATCAGAAGAGCTTGACAAGTAGGGCAAAC